TAAAAATGCTAACTGACTCAAATAATTTAATAGTATTTTTTTACAAAAAATTATTTTAGAAGATGAATTATATATAATTTATTTTGTAAAATTATTTAAATATTTTTATTTTTAATTTTATATTATTTTTTTAAAAATATTTAAATAATTTTATAAAGAGACTACAAATAATTTATCGTATAAAATAATTTTTTATTTTTTTTAAAAAAATACAAAATTTTAAATTTAAATTTTATGATATAGTTACTTCTATAATGTCTTCAAAATCTCTCTATATATATATAAAGTAAAGATACTTAAACCATCAACAAAGCAACCAAATTAATGTGGAAATTGAAGAAAAAAAAAAAAAAGAAAGCAAAAGAAACCCAGAAAACAAATCATAGCCTTATTTTGCCAAAGCAGCCACGAGGAAAAGGTGGATTGTCAACTTTGTCCTCTTTTTCCTTTTTCCTTTTTCCTTTTTTAGGAGGACCCATTTTGATTTATGGCATAGTCCTAACCAAAAATTCATTTTTGCCACTTAAGCTGCACTACTTTGACTTGCTAATTAAAGTTAGCATTCTTATAATCTCCTAATTAATTCCATCGTAAATATATATATATATATATATACTCCTATTAGATTAGCTTAAGTGAATATTTATTAGATCTAATCCATTCCTTTAGTTTATTTTTTTTACTTAATGTGCTATTTAATGGTTAGTTATTTTTACTCTTTAAAAATCTGAATTATCATGTACATCAACTCATGGAATAATATCATTATTCATTATTTGAACAATTAAAATGTCTCCAATTTAATTTTTCAACGATCTAATCTTCTTAAAAACATGTCATTTATATTGATAATGAAAATTTTGTGTAAAATTATATCATAACTAATAAGTTAGTGAGCAAAGCTCTTCCGTATTAACCATTTAAACCAAATGCTTGGAGTGGAATTAAATTTCCCCACTCATGGTTTATGCCTGCGTGGATTTCTTTTTTTAATTTTTATGCCATAAATATGATGATGGATGTTGTTATAAAGACAATATTTTTATATAAATTTTATATATCATTAAATGAATTGATACATTCAATATCATAAATTTCAAATGAATTAAAAAAATTAATTATTTTAATAACATGTCAAATTATATAAAAAAATAAAATAAAAAAAATTATATAAAAAGCATTTGCCTGTGATGATGTTCGTGTTTTATCTACACCCTGGAAATTGAATTATCAAAATCAGGCTTGTGAAATAGGAAAATAGGTACTAGGGGAATCTCTCTTCGGCTCCATCAGCATATTC